TTCCTCTCAGCTCAGGGACGGTCGGTGCCTGAGGAAGGGGTGTCAGTGTCTGGCTCTTGCTCCTGGCCACCGGGCTCCCCTCCGTCCCAACAGCCCAGGTGTGTGAGGCTTCGTACCCCAGGCAGGGCCAGGTTCTCGACAACTTGGAAGGAGGCTGGAGACGTCCGGGTCCTTTCTCGTCAGTGTCTGGCTCTTGCTCCTGGCCACCGGGCTCCCCTCCGTCCCAACAGCCCAGGTGTGTGAGGCTTCGTACCCCAGGCAGGGCCAGGTTCTCGACAACTTGGAAGGAGGCTGGAGACGTCCGGGTCCTTTCTCAGCAAACCTGCGGCGGCTGCTCCAGCTAAAAACCTGCTTGACCCACAGATCTTTTCCAAAGAGAAGTTCTGCCCCCCGAGCCAGGGCCCTGCCCCGAGGGGGGAAGGGAGGTGTAAGGACAGCAGGACCCTCAACTGGCCCACCTCTCTCCTGCCCAGGCCCAGCTATGTGCCCAGCGAGGAGAGCCGGCTCCTTGTTCTCACCGAGCTTCTGGAGAGAAAGGCCCACTCCCCGTTCTACCAGGAAGGCGTGAGCAACGCGCTGCTGAAGATGGCCGAGCTGGGGCTGACCCAGGCGGCCGATGTTCTCCTGCGAAACGGGGCCAACCTCAACTTTGAAGGTCAGGGGAGCCCGTGGGGCTGGGCCGGGCAGGCGGCTTCAGTGCGGCCGCTCTGGGTGGCGGCCAGGCCTCTGGGCTCTGCCTGACTTCTCTTAGCAGCTTATTTCATGGGCGATGGCTACGGAACCCACACCGGGCGGCCTTCCGCCCCGCAGGCTTCAGATGGCCCTTAGCACCTCTGGCCCAGGAGCAGCTTGTTGCTCTGCTACCCTGTGATTGATTTAGCAAACCTCCCCAGCTCCCGCTCATTCCCTGCTTCCATCAAGGTGAGATGCAGCTGCTGGCACTGTGCCCAGAGCTAAGGGAAGGTCATTTCCTGCCACTTATTCTGAGCCATCTTGCATTTTCGTTCATCCCACAGGAAGAGGGGGAAACACCGGGCCTAAGTCACAGCAGGACTGTGCTGGCTTCTGGCTTGTAGGTGCTGGGTGGGGGGCGGGAGGTGAGGGAGCCCTTTTCCTTTTCTCTCTGGCTTTTCACCCACGAGGGCAGGGTCAGCCAGGAGACGTGTGGGGCCGACTTATGACCAAATGGCGGTCTTTGCTCTGACATAGGACATGGCCAGGCATGGCTCCTCTCCCCTCTGAGGACCGGCTCAGAGGCTGCAGGCTCCTGGAGGGTCAAGGAGCTGAGGTGGGGGGGAGGTGGGATGGGGGTGGGGGTAAGGGTGTTCTGAAGTCAGGCGCTTGGAGACCCGGCTTTGAGAACGTGGCTGCCGTCGCCAGGCTTGAGGAGCTGGCACTCTGGGTGTCCTCCCAGTAACCCGAGAGGAGAGGCCCTGTGTTGTATGGTCCCATTTTACAGAAGAGGAAACTGAAGCCCAAACAGATTAAGTACGTGCCGTCCCCACTACAACACCCAGGACCCGAACCTAGGCCTGACCAGAGCCTGTGCTGTAGCACCCAGTGAGGACAGCTGTGCCCTGACCCCTCCGGGTGACAGCAGCCCGGGCCCGTCCGGGGAGGGGGGAGTGCCGGGACTGGGCTGCCAGGCCAGGTCCTGGGATTCTGCGAGAACGTGCTGACAGGACTGACGAGCTGGCTGTGCCCTCAGACCCGGTCACCTACTACACGGCCCTGCACATCGCTGTCCTGCGAAACCAGCCTGACATGGTGGAGCTGCTGGTGCGCCACGGGGCCGACATTAACCGGAGGGACCGGGTAAGAGCCGGGCGGCCTGCTCTGAGGGAGCGCAGTAGGGGCGAGAGCAGCCTCCCAGGTCAACCGACTGTGCTTTCTTGGCTCAGATCCACGAGAGCAGCCCCCTGGACCTGGCCAGCGAGGAGCCGGAGCATCTGCCCTGCCTGCAGCGCCTCCTGGACCTTGGGGCAGACGTCAATGCAGCCGACAAGCATGGTGGGTGCTTCCTCTGGGGTGCCCCAGGGTGACAGGCGGGCAGGCTGGTGCAGCCCATGTGCTGGCCCGGTGCGCACAGGTGCACTTGCAGAAGCTTGAGAGAGAGCAGCCGGTGGCCCACGCCAGCCCCTTGACGGCTGTCGGAGGGAGGACCTCGGTGTCCGCGCTCAGCTTCTCAGGGAATGTCTCCTGTTGGGAGAGACCCAGCCAGGTCTCGGGTAGCATCCAGGGTCCAGCAAAATCCTACCTCTCTCGGCCCTTCTGCTCTCCTGTGTGTGGCTGGAAAGAATGGCCAGAAAGCGGTCACCCTCAGCCCTGGCTGAGGTCAGTCCTTTTCCAAGTTCATTTTCTGACCTGAGCGCCTATCTCCCTCCTCCTCCGGGGCTGCCCTCCCTCGGCTCCCTGGCCTCCTCCCCCCCTCTCCCTCCTCAGGGAAGACTGCTCTGCTCCACGCTCTGGCCAGCAGCGACGGCGTGCAGATCCACAACACCGAGAACATCCGGCTGCTGCTGGAGGGAGGTGAGGCGCTTCCCCGGGCTGCCGGCCTCCCCTTCCACGGGGACTGCAGGTCCTGCTGGCTCTCCCCGCCCCGAGGGTCACTTTAGGGCTGAAGGGCTCCTCCCATCTCTTGTCCTCCTGCTGGCTCTTCCAGGGGCAGACGTGAAGGCGACCACCAAAGACGGGGACACCGTGTTCACCTGCATCATCTTCCTGCTCGGGGAGACGGTGGGAGGGGACAAAGAGGAGGCCCAGATGATCAACCGCTTCTGCTTCCAAGTCACGCAGCTGCTGCTGGCTCACGGGGCGACCCCCAGCGAGTGCCCAGCCCAGGAGTCGCTCACGCACATCTGCCTCAAGAGCTTCCAAGTGCACTTCCCTCTCCTGCGCTTCCTGCTCGAGTCCGGAGCAGCCTATAACTGTTCCCTCCATGGAGCGTCCTGCTGGTCTGGCTTCCACGTGGTCTTCGACAGGCTCTGCTCCCACCCAGGCTGCGCCGAAGACGAGAGCCATGTGGACCTCCTGCGCAAAGCCGAGACCGTCCTGGATCTCATGGTGACTAATTCCCCAAAACTGCAGCTGCCGGAAAACTTCGACATCCATCCCGTGGGCAGCCTGGCAGAAAAGATCCGGGCCCTTCACTCCTCCCTGAGGCAGCTGGAGAGCTACCCCCCGCCCCTCAAGCACCTGTGTCGTGTTCACATCCGGCTCTACCTTCAGCCGTGGCCCGTGGATGCGAAGGTCCAAGCCCTGCCTCTGCCCGACAGGCTGAAGTGGTACCTCCTCAGTGAGCACAGCAGCCCCGTGGAGGCTGACATCTGACCGCTCCAGACCGAGGGGACAGTCTGGGCCCCTCAGCCAGCCCGCTGGTGGACTAAAGTCCCGGCGGCCTTGGGGGAACCTTCGGTCCCGCCTGTGAGAAGGCGCAGGCTGCCTGTCGGAAGGTGTAGGCTGGTACAGGAGAGCCGGCAGCTGCGGTCATTCCTGTGGGAAAGGCTGTGTCTTCAGGGAGACGGCCCCCATCTCTGACAGTGACCCAGTTCTCAACCCACATGGGAGAAAATGACAGGGCTTTGATTTGGGACAGGCGTGAAAGGACTGGTGGGCATTCCTGAGCGCAGACTCCTGTGAGCTGCATGGACAGAGCTGAAGCCAGAAGGAACTGGGTGGGCCTTTGTGGGTGCGGCCCAGGCAAGGCCCTTTACTCCACAGAAGGGCTTTGGTGGGCGGGGAGAGAGCGGAGCTGCTTCCTGCTGGTGTCGCCGCCCCGCCCACCAGGGCACAGGGCTGTGCCAAACCCAGGTCTTGGGGACCATGCCTTCTGCTAAAAAGCAATCATGCATGACCAGGGACATTCCAAAATGTCTCACCTGAGGATGAAAGCTACCAGGACTGAAGGCTGACTCCTGCCTGGTGCTGAGCCTCACAAAGCTGTCATGATGGTCCTTGTGAATTGTGTAAATGCCACAGATATAAGCTAAGGCAACTAAAAGCATATTTATATTACCCAATTAGACTGACTTCTCTGGTCTTAAAAGGCCCTTGATAACATCTCTGCCCCCCATTTCAGGATGACGGACCTCACAGCGTCCTGGAAGAGGGGGTCAGCACGAGCAGACACTGCATTAGGGCTCAAGTAACACCTGTCCCATAACAAAAGCACCATCCAGACCGTGGGGCCTTCCAACACAGGGATTCACCCTCTTTATTTCTGACTGAAAACGTCCGCCAAGGAGGAACCACAAGGCACGGCCAAGAGTGAGCCGCGGGCCTCTGCCGGCTGCAGGCTGCGGGCTGCTGTGACCACCACGTTAGGGACACCAGGGCCCATCACCAGAGGACTCGGAACATGAACCTGCCACCAGCTGCGACACAGCGGCTGCGCCTCTCCCCGGAGGTCGTGTCCTCAGCCGGGGTCAGGGTTCTCTTCCTCTTAAGGCGCCAGGCCTGTGGCTGGTGATGGAGACCAGGAGTCTCCGCTTCTGCTGGGTCGCCATACCCCACAGACCTGCACTGCCCAGGCCCCACCCGAGGGCAGCGGAGCCAGGCGCCTGCCTCACTGCCCACTGGATGGCACTCCTCCCCGGTGGGTCCTGTGGTTAAAGAGCCTGTATGGCCAGTGGATGGCAGGCAGGTACATTTACTGGCCTCACTCAACTCCTGCGAACCATCAGAATGAGCCTCTGATGGCACCTGGCTGCCAGCTGTCCGCCCCTGCCGGTCCCTCTTGCCCTGCAGCCCTGCTCATCTCAGGGCCAAGCTGTAGACGTGGTAGATCTCATCGGGGAGGTTCTCCTGCTGCTCCTGGGCGAGGAGGCTGAGGCCTGCGCTTCGGAAGATGCCGTGGACCACCTCGAGGTCCCGGCACACGCTGCTGTCCACATCGTCCAGGATCACGCCCTCCTGGGCCATGTTGTCTTTGATGACGATGATGCCGTTGGGGCACAGGCCCTGCTTGCAGCGCCGCAGAAACTCGGCCAGGTGCAGATAGGTCAGGTGGCCTGGAAGGCAGAGGCGTGGGAACAGGATGGTGCGGGCACACTCGCCACTGGCTGCTCCTCAGCCACCGCTCATTCCACTTTGCACTTTACGATTGACACACAGGGCCAACTGCCCTCAACAGTCCAGGGGGGTCACTGAAGCCCATTTTGTGAAAGAGGAGACTGGGTCAAAGTCACCGAGCCACAGGCAGCCATGAAATGTGCAGCTGGGATTCCACCCTGCCCAGTGGCTTCAGGCCCTGCCTGACACCTCACTCCACATGCCACCCACCCTCCTAGGCCTGGACCAGGGCAGAGTACCCAACAGTTCTTCCCTCCGTTAGAACTCCAGACAGGCTTTTTGGGACCACAGAACACAGGGCCAGATGCAGTAGGTCCCACAGGGTGGTGCTGCCTGCCTGGGAGGGTGGCTGACCGCTGCACAGGACATGATGGCAGAGCCGGCTCACCGCCAATAGCAGGGACAGCCAAAGCTTCAACCTTCCTCTCGGTGCTGCCTGCCTGGGAGGGTGGCTGACCGCTGGCACAGGACATGATGGCAGAGCCGGCTCACTGCCAATAGCAGGGACAGCCAAAGCTTCAACCTTCCTCTTAACCCCTTTTATAAAATCTGTCCATGTTCTTTCTAAGTTAGTTAACTGGGCATTTAAATTTTTTCAACAAAAAACTGCCTCCCCAATGGGTCACAGCAGGTGCTGAGTTAATAAAACCTGGGGAGAGATGTACCTTTAAGGTGGCGGGCCCCACGGTCCTGGGGCAGGGAGGCTGGAGAAACCCCCGCTGCCTGCCTGGTGCTGCAGGAGCAGCGGCTCCAGGCCATGGGGACTCCAGTCTGGGAAGCGGGACGCGCAGGACAGAGAAGACGGCAGCAGGAGGCTCACCTATCACCCACTGGATCCAGATGACGTCGTAGGAGTTGGGCTCCGGGCTGAAGTCCTGGAGGCCACAGCAGAAGTAGTTCCTCACCCTCTTGCCCTCCTCACCCAGGTAGGTCTTCGCTTTTGCCAGGAAGTCCTCTGTCACGTCCACCATGTCCACCGCCCGGAAGAGCGGCAGGAGCAGCCGCTTGGTGATCCTGCCGATGCCGGCGCCGCAGTCCAGGGCACAGGAGGTCCCCGTCTGGTTGGGGCCTTCCTAAAACAGGACAGGTGTCAGGAAGGCTCGGAAAGCCAGAGGGACCCCGTCACTGCCCAGGGCCCTGCCTCACAAGCCCCTGAGGGACTCATCTAGCCTGGACGGTGGTGTGAGCGTGACCTTTTCCTGGGTCAGATTTCTAACATGAAAGCCAGCTTCCACTTCGAGGTGCTGACTTGAGCAGGTGCCTTCATTTCACTCCTGAGACCCCGTTAAAACGACAGCAGGAACAGGAAGAATTTAGTCAGCGAGAGACCAGAAGAGGCCAATCAATGGCACGGGATTGGAACAAACCTGGGACGATGGCAAGTGGGTGGAGAGACAACCAGAGCGGCCTCTGCTGCTCGCGAACAGACAAGAGGGGGAGGACCAGGGAGGCTCCAGCCGGGGCAGGAGGCCATGGCGGGAGTGACCAGGAGCTTGCCTTCCGCAGAACAGCCAACACCCACAGCCCAAATACCCAGACGTGGCCAGAGAGCCAAGGTTTCGTCCCTGGGAAGATGGGACAATTTAAAGGGAGACTACTCAGTTCTGGGACAGGGAACCCCCAGCATAACAGCCATCGACTGTTGGTCCCCTCGAGGCCCAGTCCACAAGCCGCCCGCTGTCCTTCGGGCCTGGGCGGTAGACGGACACACTGCAGGCCCTGCAGCGGCAGTCGGAGGAGGCGCCAGCACGTGCTCCGGAGAGCACCCCAGACCTGCCTACCCTCAGAAACCTCTGCAGGAACTTCCGGGAGCTGTTGATGTCGATGCTGGAGATGTGGCCGTACCCCCCGAGCATGCCGTCCACCGTCGGGGGGACGTCCTTCCAGTACGTCTTGGCCTTGGAGTAGAATTGCTTCTCGTCTTCTATCACCTTGCTCGTCATACTGTCTCCAACTGCGTCTGCTGCAACTCCGCAGTGGCGCCTCCTGCAGGAAAATGGAGTGAATCAGCCAGGCCGAGGGCCGTCTCACGTGCTGGGCTGGTCAGTCCTGCCTGATGCAGGGGAATGTCCGTGTCCCCATCTGCTGCTGCCCCTCGGACGACAGTGCCTTACGTCTCTTGCATTCAGGTCACTTTACAAAGCGAACTTCACGTCAGAGGAGACCAGAGTCCTGGCTTCTAGTGCTTTCCTCACCCTCCCTGACACCTGGCTCCATGGCTTCTGACCCCAGCGGACAGAGAATCTGAGCTAAGGGAAAGTCGTGTGTGTCCTGGCCAGTGTGCTAATGGTTAGAGCACCGGCCCTCACAATGGAAGGTGGCGGGTTTGATTCCCAGTCAAGGGCACATACCTGGTTGCAGGTTCGCTCCCAGCCTGTCAGGGCGCATGCAGGAGGCAAATGCAACCAGTCAATGTGTCTCTCTCACATTGATGTTTCTCTCTCCTCCCTCCCTTCCTCCCTCCCTCCCTCCCTCTCTCTCTGAAAAGCAATGGAAAAAAATATCCTTGGGTGATACAAGGAGCTCAAGCCTGCTACAGTGTACTCTGTGGGGGGCTGGGGGGGGGGGGCTGAACAGTCCCCATGACCCCCTCTCTCTCGCTGGTCAGCAAAGAAGCAAGCTCACTTCCAGGTCTAGTCCTTCATCAACAACCAGGCATCGTGCTGTGAACGGGGAGACAGAAGACAGCTTGACTCCATTACAACTGTAAGGGCTGGGAAGTACAGGGCACTACAAGGGCACACCCTAGAGCAGTGGTTCTCAACCTTCCTAATGCCGCGACCCTTTAACACAGTTCCTCATGTTGTGGTGACCCCCAATTTCATGGTTACAAATTGAACATAATTAAAGCATAGTGATTAATCACAAAAACAATATGTAATTATATATGTGTTTTCTGATGGTCTTAGGCGACCCCTGTGAAAGGGTCGTTCGACCCCCAAAGGGGTCTCGACCCACAGGTTGAGAACCTCTGCCCTAGAGGGACCTAACTCTGCTGGGGTCACGGAAGGCTCTGGGGAAGTGACCTCAGCTAAGACACAGCACCAGGAAGAGTTCACTAAGCACTCGGGGCAAGGAGACTGCTCCAGGAAGAAGAGCGGGCACAGAGCCCTCCCAACTGGCAAGTCAAGGTCCCACGGGTCACATTTGGTAGTTTAGATTTCACCCTGAAGAGCAATGACCGTGAACTAGCCTGGGCTAAGCAGGGAGTGACATGAGAAAATGGTCCTGGAGACTTGGCAGCTGTGAACTGCAGGGGCGAGAGCAAAAGCAGACACGGACAGTGTCGCCGCTGACAGGAGCATAACCAGGGGGACGAAGGACCACAAAGCAGCAGCGGGGCCCGACAGCAGAGCGCAGGCCCACACGCCGCTCAGGGCCGGGAGGCCGGTTCGCAGCCCCACTCAGCCAGCGGCCACCTCATGCCCAGGAGGGACATCAGGGTCATCCCTCCCCTGAGGCCCTGGCCCTCGTCAACACGTGTTCACCCTGGCAGGTGTTCTGGTTGCTGAGGCTTGTCAACATGAAGCCCGACCCCCAGAGAGCTGGCAGCCCGGCAGGAGACGGGGCAAAATGAAACCCACACACGGAGGGACCACGAGGGCTCTCACGGCGCCAGAAAAGTGCCGTGGATCTCAGGCTGGAGGAATCCTTTCTGAATGGCGGCCAGGGCGGCAGCCGAGAGGTGACACCAGATGTATCACTGCGATTCTCTGGCGTCCCGCGTGGTGTTCACCAAAACACACACTTCCCGGGAAATGAGCAGAATAAATCGGACCGAACACTTGCCTGGCTCTCCTCTCTCTGCCTCGCCGGCCCTCCGGGGTTTACCTTCCCAGGCAGGGTCATGACTTTCAGCACCATTAGCCCAGCACCTGATACAAGGTGGGTGTTTGCTAATCGGTTGTTGAATGAATCAAAGCATGAGCTTTGTGTGGCGACAGCCAGTTTACACTTTTAAGAAAACCCCACGTAAAAACCCGCCCGTTCAAAACTGAGAACACTGAAGGCCATTACCGACAATATAATGACCTGCTTTACCAAAAGCCGTGAACAGGATCCCTTTAACTGTCAAGGTCCCCTGAATAACCTAATTTACAAGAATTCCACTTACAGGCAAATTCTAGGAACAAGCCAGGGGAGACCCATCTAGGCCAGGAAATGGCAACTGTAACTTTGACATTTGTTCTAAGAGCTGATACATTAGTAAACGAGACTCCGGGGCCCTGTCTACACTGCGCCTCCCGGTGTGGGCAGCGGGTCCCTAGGAGTCAGAGGGAGCAGGGTTGTCGATCAAACAGCAGGAAGCCCTCCCACACTCTGCCCAGATGGCAGCGAGGAGCTTCACCACTAGAGACGGATGGGGCCGGGGCCGGGGCTGGGGACAGCCTGGCTGTGTGTGCTCTCGGCTAACTTGGAGGGGAAGAGAGACCCTTTGCTCATAGTGAACGTGTGCTCCTCGGCGGGGAGCATGTCCCTGCCCAGCCTTCACGGTCATCGAGCCACCTTCTCCCCCTCCAAGGTGTTTAGGGCAACACCTGGATAGCTGCCCCAGCTACTTCTCTTTCCCGGGATCCACGGAAGAGAATGGTGTTTGAACTGTCACTGGCAGTGCAGGGCAGAGCCACCTCAACCCCTAAGTCACCCGTCTAGGAAAAGCAGGAGGCCAGAGCCCGTCTGAGTTACCTCCTCCTCCTCGAAGCCTGCGGGGCAGGGCCTGTTCTCCTCGGATCTGTGTGTCTGCAGTTGGACATAGGAGAATGGCAGGATGCTCTATGAAAAAGAAAGGGAAGAAGGGAGGAAGGAAGAAAAAAAATTAGGGGAAAATGTTAAAAACCAACAAAGGCTCTGATGAAATCAAGTGAACCAGGTGTGAATCCTGGCTCTGCTGCTCATCAGCTGTGTATGCTCAGCTCAGACACTTAACCTGTTACCCAAGTTTCTTCATCTATAAAATGGGAGCAGCAATACTGACTCTAAAAGCATAAAGGGGCCCTGGCCAGTGGGTTCAGTGGTTAGAGTTGTCCCGTACACTAAAGGGTGGCGGGTTCAATTCCCGGCCAGGGCACATATCTGGGTTGTGGGTTCGTTTGCTGCTCAGGGCACAGACAAGAGGCAGCTGAGTGATGTTTCTCTCTCAAAATCAATAAATTTTTAAAAAGGATAGAGTGACCCACACAGTGCCGGGTACATGTTATCTCCAGGTTCGAAATCTGTCAAATGAGATTCCCCTCAGTTATCTCTGCCAATCGTGAAGCTCAAAGAAAAATGCACTGAAGTGCCCTATACATAGTGTTGGACACACGTAGGGGTTACTGCTGTTACTGCTGTTATGCTGGGTGGTGGGCATTCAGCCTCACACAGCTGAGCCTGGGGGGGAGGGGGAGGGAGGAGGGGAGGGCTCCCCATCTCTGCAAGCACAGAAAGACTGCGAAGATCGGGAGATGCTGTCTTTGAGACTGGCTTCTGGCCTCCATTCTAAAGCATTCCGCATGCGCCGCCATTCCTGCCACAGCCCCCAGTTCACAGACAGAAGAACCGTCCCACTAGAGGAGCGAGGTGCCTTAAAGCACACAGCGAACCAGGAACAGGAGGGAACCCAGCCGTCTTACCCAGAGGCCTAGTCCTCCCAGGGCCTCATCCCAGGGCCCCGGGCAGCGATCCTACACGTCCAGACTCTGCCCCCTGCCCCAGGGCCTCGGGCCCAGCGGTGTCTCTCTACCCCTTCCTACACAGCCCGTCCTCTGGGCCGAGATCCCAGCCCACAGCAGCAGAGCCTGGCCTTCTGACAGCCTCTCCTCACGCAGGCTGACCTTGCCTGCAAGGTCTCTCGGCGGCGGACCTGTCCGGCCAGGCCTGGGGCCGCGTCCAAGGGGAACGAAGACAGCAACTCCTAGGTAACGGGCACGCCGTGTGCCGGCTCCGAACTGAGCGCTCCTTACCCCGGCCTCTCGCGGGGGAAACTGAGGCTCAGAGAAGGAAAGGGATTTGCTACGGCCCGGGGGCCGGCGTGGGGGAGTGCCCGGCCCCGCTTTG